CACGTCCTGCCCGACCCGCTGGGGTGGCTCGACGGCGGAACCGCCCGGCCCAGTTCTGGGGCGAGGATGCCAGCGCTGCACATCGAAGATTTGCCAGAGAAGGAAAAACTGAAGATGGAAGTTGAGCAACTCCGAAAGGAAGTGAAGTTGCAGAGGCAGCAGGTAAGAAGCTGCTCCAGAACCCGGCCCACTGGGAAGTGGACCGGGACCAGCTCGGCCTGGGTAGTTACAGCCAGACAGCTGCAACAGATGTTTTCGGGCCGCTTTTCTGGGAGGGAGGCTTTGGCAGCGCGTGGGACGTGCCAGGACCTGGGAAATCGCGGGAGAGAAATCGCAGGAGGATCTGATGAGGAACGGGAAGCAGAAGGCCTCACAGAGGAGGACGGAGCAGTGGGCAACAGGCGCGGAGTCCTGCCCCTTACCAGACAGCTGGTTTTGAAAACTGAGCTGTAGGAAAAGGCAGGGGGCTACTTTGTCCCTGAAAGAATTTTTCTAAAACCACATTTTAAAGTTTACGGAGCTTTGAATTTCACCAGTAATCTTCAGGGTTGGGCGAAGACAGCTCCCTGGGCCCTGTGTACAAAATGCCAGAATTTCTATTTTTATTTACTTGTAAATTTCATCCTTTTGTTTTAACCATCCGCCTTATGCTTTATATATATGCAAAATGGATTCATATTTATAAATAAATAATCACATGTGCACCGAGGTTGCCATTAAAAACTTTTAGAAATCATTGATAGGGGTTACAGTTTTATTGAAAGCATTGAGTCCCAGTGTTCAGAAGTCTCCACTGAAACTTGATGGAGGGTTTGTAATTTTTACTTCAATTTCTTACTAGTAAAAGGAGCTTTCACTAGGACACCCGTCTTTCTACCTTTTCACACAGTTTAGCAACCTTTGGCTTGAGAAAAGGCTTTTGAAGAGATGATTCTAAAAGAAATCTTTTCTCCCCAGCCAAAAAAAAACAAACAAAAAAAACAAGACAAAAACAAAAACAAAAAAATTGAACAGATTCTATTTATAGTTTAATACTGGAAAAAACAAGAAAAACAAGAAAAATGAGGCAATGGTTGTATATATTCTCCCTGGCATTTTTGTTCTGGTTCTGTTAATGACAGCAGTCTTAGTCTTCTTGAGTGATGACTGAAACATCACTTTTTAAAAAATTTTACCTTTTTACACATTTCTTTCCTCAGATTTAGCTTTCTACTTCCTAATTTCAAATCCTAGCTTTTCCTAGACGTTGTCTTTTCTTTCCTTGTTGAGGTTTGTAACTTTAAAAGCATGGATGAGTTCAAAGGAATAAACAAAGTTACAAGACCCAATTGATGCTTGTTCCTTGAAGGCGATTCATTTTGCCAATGGCAGAGCTGGCAATAAAGCAAATGTCAGCTTCTTAGATTATTTTTTTTCACACAATGAGTTTAGGGATTATATATTCACCAGAGTTGCATAAATTAAAGTAATGCATTGCTAGTACAAAGCTGGAATATTTTAATATCTGGTACCTCTGTGCAGAATTTACAGGGAAAAAAAAGAGACAAGTCTCCTTTATTTTTTTAAAGTTTCAAGTTAGAGATTGGGCAGGATCCTGGATGCAAGTGACATCATAGAAGTCAAACATTATTCATGAGCAGTGTCTCCCTGCTGGCAGCCCTGCCCCTTAGAATAGGCCCTACAGAGTTTTCTTTGCAGTGCCTGATACCCCTGGTAAGTGCCAGAGGGAGAAGACATTTCAGGGTTATTCTTGCTGACGCAGGGAGAGGTACCTAAGTCTTCATAATTTTCAAATATATTTTATTATGCACTGTGAATGGTAGAGTATTAGTGAGGGACAAGCCTTGGCAACTCGTTAGAGACTGTTCCCTGCCTTGCTCTAAGAAGGAAAACACTGAGTCACAGGCAGGCTGGCTAGTACCTCACACAGGACCACTGGGCGATGCGACAGGCACTTAGAAGCACTATTCCATCGCTGAGGTGTTACCACCTGAGCTATATGTCCTGCTCAGGCCAAGGAGACAAATTCACAGGTTGTTGTATTTGTCTTCAGCTAAGTCAGTGCCAATCATATATACCCCGTTGATCATGAAAGAAAAGGCATCACAGGGACACTTTTTCACTTTGGCAGATGATGGACCTTTTCAGAAACCTAATGAACATGCCTCTGTTAGAAGACATACAATGTGGGGAATGTGACTCTTACCTAGAAATTTCCCTGGAGCTGGTGGATATAAGCTCAATCAGTGTTGAATATTTAAAAGGCACACACTATGAATATCAGCAAAACTGAAAGCAAATATGACCCCAAAGAAATATTCTTAAGGAGATTTTATTTTACAATATTTTAAGTGATATAAGGACACCACCTATTTGTAAACTTTATTTATTATTTATTTGTACGACTTTGTGTTGGACCTCTGTGCTTCACCTAGAACTACAGCTCCAGCCTCCGACCCCCTTCTTATTTTTTATTTATTTGGAGCCAGGATCTCACTAAGTGGTCCAGGTGACACTTGGGCCTTCAACCCCTCCTTCCTCACGCCCGCTCAGTGCTGGGATCATAGGCTTGAGATCAGACAGGCCCCCACACTACTGTGCAAAGAATTGCCCTTTGAGAGGCACGAATGAAATAATTACATTTCTGTTTTCATCTAGTTTTAAATCTCATCCTTTCATTATTTCCAGTTTGCGGTCTATGAATTTATCTATAAGTAAATATTACGCATATGTTGCAATGCACATGCAAACATGTTTCAGTAATAACTATTAAAACAGTTGGAGGCCACCAATCTAGATTACAAATTGAATTGGAGCATTTGCCAACTTTTGGTGTGTCCCCATTGCGGTTTGCTGGCACTATAATTTTAATTCTAATGTCTTATTAGTAAAACAGGCCTTTATTAATATTCTAAGATACTAATCCACCTTTTTCTCTTTCCTAGTTATTCTTTTCTTTTTAACATATTCTTATCTTTTAAGGATTTTTTTTTTTGCTTTTTTTTGAGACAGGGTCTCACTATGTAGTGGAGACTGACCTGGAACTCTCTTTGTAGCCCTGGCTGGTCTCGAGCTCACAGTGATCCTCCTGTCTCAGCCTCCCAAGTGTTGGGATTACAGATGTGAGCCACCATGCCCAGGAAGGATTTTTTTTTTTTCAAAAAATTACTCAGTCCTTTTTGCATTGTAGAAAATATTTAAACTGCTTCTATAAACACAAGAATCTCAGAGAAGCCTAGTAAGTCTCTGATCATTGCCATAATCTACCAGGAGGAAACTCAGCAGTCAGAGAAGGAGGTGTTTGGGCACCTCCAGCTTTTGCCAGTGCTTCTATCAATGTGAAATTCCAGAACTTGGCACGCAGTCCCGCGTGAGACTTGTCACGTACACCCTCCCCCAAACACTTTGGATTATCTGCTATGAAGCCTCCTCCTTAGCATGAAAAAATAAAAATGGAATACGTTTTGGCTTCTAAAAATATGTTAAACATGTTGTAATTGTACTTTAACAGAGGAAGGAAAAAGTATGACTCACGGTGAATAGATATTATTGGTCAAAGTTAGAAAAGTTTGAAAGCCACTGTACTCAATATATCATTCCCAGTGATAAGAAATATACTTTAAGTAGACTGTATTTTATGTAGAAGTGGGTAGAATAAAATTACTAGCATGTAGCACAGAAATAATATACATATATCAATTTTTTTACTAATTTGAAGCTGATTTACTCAATTATAATAATTTCACAAAACAATTCTAACAGAGTTTGAGCACGCCTGACCTATCGCATTCTTTTCTCCTCTCTTTTGTACTTCAGGTGTCTAAATGTTCTGAAGAAATAAAAAACTATATTGAAGAGCGTTCTGGGGAAGATCCTCTGGTGAAGGGAATTCCGGAAGACAAGAATCCCTTTAAAGAAAAAGGAAGCTGTGTTATTTCATGAATAACTCTGAGGAGAAACTCTAGCTTTGAGAGAAAAGTTAAATTTTTTAGTTCCCCAAGTAAACCCCTCATGTCTTTTAAGGAAGAAGAAAAGAAACTTAATGGAGACCCTTAAGCACTACATGGATGGGGTTGTGTGTAAAAGCATATCTTCTTTTCCTCTTTGCTCACCGCACACCCTTTTAGCAGGCAGCTTATCCGCTGTTGCACTATTATGGAATTACGGACATTACTGTGCATGACTCAGCTCTTTCAGTATCTTGCTTGGTGCCTCAAATAAACTTTTGTCTTGGGAAAATGAATGTTGGTGTTTTAAGAAAGCACATTGTATGCCCTTAACTTTTATATTCCTCTTCACAGTCTTTCAGTGTTTGGGATGCATATCAAAAGATTAGGCCGTGCCCAGTAGATCACGTCTCCAACCCAGCCCTCTCTGCTCCCTGTATTTACATTGCTAAGTTCTGATTTGGGGAATGTGTTTGTTCTAACCTGACCGTCACAGCAGGCAGAATTCCTGATAGCATGATAGCATGGACAGGAGTCAGATTACCTGAGACAGGAATCAGGCCATGCCATGTCACTAGATCTTGTCACAGTGTTCCTGCTGCAGTGGCCTTAGGAAGGCCTACTGGGAGTTGAGAAGAGCACCCTTGCTCCCAAGGTGCAGTGGCCACCAGGCCTGGCTTTCAGGCAGATCCTTTTGCCCACACAGGACTGTGTTGCCCCTGTGCACCCCAGGTGGCTGTGCTTCTGCTCCAGTTCGGGGGCACTGATGCAGATGCGTGGTTGTCGGCATTCACTCCAGCCAGCCTTTCCCAGCAGGTCCAGGACAACCATGCCTCTTTTACTTCTCCTCTAAAGGAAACCATGAGTCTTGTCGCATTTTAAAAATTAATTTTCCTTTTTACTTACTCATTTGTAGGAATTTCCCCCATATTTTTACCATCTGTCCCTCACTGGTGGTGTGTGTTGCCAAAAAATGCTCTCTCCCAGGACATAGCTGCACTTTTCTTTGTGACCTTAGCCTCCATAGCTTTTTTTTTTCATACTAGGAATCGAGTTTGAGTCCTTCTGCTTGCGAGGCAGGCAGCGGCACCACTGAGCTAAATCCCAAGCCCTTGCATAGATTTAACTTTAGCAGCAGAGCACAGCATACCAGGTACAATGCGTGCTTCAGGACACCCACAGGAAATGGACCTTTCTTCCCTTCTAAGCAATTTTTTCTCTTTTTCCTATGATTTTTTGTTGAAAAATACTCCAGGGTGGGGCCAAAAGAAAACATAAATTTTTCAGATTAGCTCTATCTCAAATGAGCTTCGTTACCAATTTGTCCTATGATTCTGAATGTGGCAGCATAAACCCACATCTCTCAAGTGGATCTTTCTGCTATGCGATGTACCTGTACCTTCTTTTTCAAGCCAGAGAGGCTCTTGCACCTATATCATCTTCATAAATTACATCAGCCTCTTTACTCCAATTATTCATTTCATTTCTCCACCTGGAAAGGAACAAGATAGCCAGGCTTGTGAAAACATAGATTACACAAATCCTAAAGCAAAGGCTGTTTCATTCCATTTCTGCCATCTTCCAAGTCTGACTTCGGTTAGGGTTGCTGAGAGCCTCGCGATAATGTAACAGTTAACAGTAGTAAAGCATGTTTCCTCCAAGCACCATGACACAACACTTGCTTGGCCCTCCTTGAGATTTTAATATCTTGGTGCTTATAAGTTTTACTTTAATGAGCTGTTGCATTTTTTATAGACATCAGGTTTTCTTTTGTTGGATAAGAAAGCAAACATCTATTGTAATCATTGGGAAAGCAGATCAAGTCACCTGCTTTCACCTTCATGGGCCAAGGTGTCGGAATTACTGCTACCTTCTTGAGAGCTGTGCTTAAGGGGCTACGTTTTGACTTTCTATTACCTACATTTGGCTATCTATGCATGCACAATCCCAGGCTGATCTCTTGTTTTTCATGTCTCTTTCAATCATATGAGAAATTGATCAGCCAACTTCCCATTTTTCCCTAGTGGATCCCCCAACTTTGTATTTGTTTTCACTACATCTAAATGTTATTCTCTTCTTACTGTTTTACTCCTGTAATCCAGCAAAACCAGGGCATAATAAAAACTATTATGGTTTTTAAGTGTTTAAATTATTAAGCAAAAAGCTTAATAATGTAATATAATAACATACTAGGAAGAAACATGACAACTGTGTACATATATTATAAAACTATTATAAAATCAACAGTAGAATTTAAATCATGTTCAATTTCTTACAACTATAAGATTGTGTGATCATGTGGTATTTTATTAAAATAGCTGCCACATTTTGTGCATTGAGGCTGAAATTTTATGAACTTGATCTAATTTACCAGTTTTTCCTACTATGGATCATACATTTCTTATCATGTCTAAAGAACTACTTGCCTACCCTTAGTGCCCAAAGCTTGCTTTTATGTTTCTTCTAAAAGTTTTATGATTTCATGTCTTGGATACTAAATCCATGGTCCATTTTGAAGTAATTTTTATATGAGGTGTGAAGTTTAAATAGAGGTCCTGTCTACCTATCACATTTCCCTGAAAATAAGACCTAACTGAAAAATAAGCCCTAGCATGATTTTCAGGATGCTTACAAGTCCTACCACAAAAAATAAGCCCCAGTTATGATTGTCAGCCAGATGGATGCATTAGAGCATCTGCTGCAACACATAATGGATGTATTGCATCATAAATAATAATAATAATATAAATATTACTGACATTAATACTTCAATGATAATATAAATTGTAATTAAGTAGTTTACAGTATATGTAAATACCCAAGAAGTTTTAAACAATATTATATAAATAAATATAGTTTTGGTACATGAATAAATGTAAATTGTTGTACAAGAAAAAAATAGGATGTCCCTTGAATATAAGCCCTATTGTGTCATTTAGGGCAAAAATTAATTATGATATTTTTGGATAAATATTTCATTCATTCATTTTTTTTCTTTCTTCTATGTATCTATCTGCCAATTATTCAAAAAGCTATCAGTCTACCATTAAATAGCTTTTGCTCTTTTATCAAATATTAGTTGGGTATATTTGTTTAGATCTATTTCTGAGTGCTCCCTTCTGTTCATTTATGTGTCCGTGTGTTAGTTCCACATCTGCAAATATAGACAGTTTCATTCTTTCCAATTTGTTTTCTTGTCTTATTGCAGTGACTAGATCTCCAGTACTATGTTAAATTGTAGTGTTAAATACAAAATGTCATCAAGAAGTTATTTAAAATTAATGAAATGAATCTTTAAAATCATTATTTAAAAAGCAATTTGGTAGTTTCTAAAATCAAAAATGTTAAGAGCAAAATGTAAAGAAACCTTTTAGAGAACATATGCAGAAGAATATAACCTATAGTTAGAGAAAAGTGTCTCACACACACACACACACACACACACACACACATACATACACACATACCACACACTGAGAGGTAAGATAGAACTTTGTTGTCTTTGATTACATTAAAATTAAAATATCTGTTTCTCAGGCAGCTGTTTCACTGAGGTTGCTGAAGCTCCTGGTCACTGCTCCTGAAACAAAGCAGACTTGAACAGCACTGCATGGCTTGGAAAACCAAACTGCCTTTGGAACCAAAGCTGTCAAAAGTAGATCAAAACGCATGTACAAAACACAGAAAGGATGACTCCCTGCTAAAACAGAAAGCTTAAATATGATCAACCATCTCCTTACCTAACAGCTAAAATGTCCATGACAAAATTGAAAAAATTTTATCATAACAAAAACTAAAAAACAAAACAAAACAACAACAACAACAACAAAAGCCCACAATCTGAGTAAGAAAACATAACCAAAGGATGCCAATAGCAATAGGATGTAGTTACTGGAATCATTTGATATGAATTTTAAAGCCGTCATTATAACAATGCTTCAAAAATCAATGATAAACCTACTTGAAACAAAAAAAGAGAATTCCAGAAAACTAAGACAAGCTATATGCAGATATCTAGTAGAAATTATAGAACTAAAAATATAGCAATTGAAACCTAGAAAGTAAATCTCACTTGATGTTTTCAGCAATAGAGTTTTGCTAACGAATGATAGAATTGGTGGGCTTGAACATAGGTCTGCCGCATGTACTGAGTTTGCAATCTAACACACACACACACACACACACACACACACACACACACACACTAAAACTAATACAAATACAAGAGAACTAAGTCAATCCCCAAGAATGTGTAGGACAGTAATAAAAGATAAATTTCTAGCTAGAAGAGGCGATAAACACATGGGACTGAAAAAGTAGTGAGAAAAAAATGATGGATGAAAAATTAAAGTTTGGCAAAATACATAAACTTACAGATTTAAGAAGCTGAGAAAAAGGATAAACCACAGGAAATTCACATCTAAAGACATTGTAACTAAATATCTTAAAACTAAAGACCCAAAGAAAAAAAATTTTAAGAGCCAGAGGTAAAAGATATGTTATGCAAAAAGGAAAAAAGTTTTAAATTAAGTGGGTGCCCCTCAGAAACTATGGGGCCAGAAGAAGAGGCGTGATATTCTTAAATGCAAAAAGAAAAGAACGGTGGACACTGAAGCTTCTACTAGTGAAACTATCCTTCAAGACAGGAGAGGAAGGGAAGACATTCTTAGGTGAAGGAAAATTAAGAAAAATTTTTGCTAGCACTCCTTCTTTTGCAGAATGACTAAAATAAACTCTCAGAACAAAAAGAACATACCACCACAGACAAAAAGGGATGCACCTGCAGAATGAAACGCAGAACAAAAGATGAAGGGTAAAACTTGAAGCAAATATTACAGGCTATTCTCAGTTTGCACGTTTCAAGGTAGAACACGCTAAAAGCACAGCAGAGCAGTTCAAATTGTGGAGGTCCAGTCTCGTACAAAGTGGCTACTTCAAGTAACTATGGGGGATGGGAGTACACATGTGTTTATCATTCAACAACATGTATGGTGCTGATGCTAAGCTAGGCCTCTCTCTATGCCTAATGGCACTGGTGAACTATACAAAGTCCTTAATGCCAGGGAATTTATAACAACTACAATCAATCAGGTATAAATGCA